TACTAATTCTGCTGCTCATAATCTGCAAGATTAATATTAATTTTATATTAATTTAAAAAATTTTTATTATAAATTTTAAATTTTTTTATTTTAATTTATAGAAAACATTTAGCTTTAAAACATTGAGATATTTTTTTGAATTATGTTTTGCTCATCAAATCAATTTAATTATTGGATAGTTTTTAAAGAATCATCTAATTTGATAAATGCGACTAAAAAAGCTATTTATATTATTACATATTTTAATAGATCAGTTTATTTTATGATAAAATTGAATGATAAATAAATAATTAAATATAAAAAATATTTTTTTCTTTTTCTTTTATGTATTTCTAGAGATAGTCAGTCAGTATGTGATCTTTGATTGGTCTTGATCGGTCTTTAGGAAATTTTCAGAAAAGTAATAAGGCTATATTTCCAATTTTTATGTAGCATAACAGAACTGATTAAAGACTGAAAAGTGGTAAAATTTGGTCTTAATCTAATCACCCAATTTAGAGTTAGGTAGGTTTTTATTTGACCAAAACCAGTATTTTTTGATTATTTTGGTCTTTTACCAATTTCGTTTCTGCTGATCTTAAAAAAAAAGAAGTATATAGACCAAATTTTGACATTTATTGGTTTTTAACCATACTTGATGTATCTCAAAATTTCAAGAATACATTTCTTATAACTTTTATAATGACTGGATAGGACTGTTCAGAACTAAAAGATTGATTAACTATATTATGTGCTACACATTAGAATTCTCATTATTATTATTATTTTAGTTTATTAAGAACAAAGTTTGCTTTAAAGATAATAATATTTTTATTATTAAAATATTGTTAATTTTATAAAATTTTTTATTAAAATTTCAATTTTTTTAGATATTTATTTCAAAATTTACTTCTAGTAAATTTGGATTTTATAATAAATATATAAATGATCTGGAAGATGAAAAAATTTATTATTTTGATAATTTTGATAAAGAAACTGAAAGAGAAAATTATATAAATTTATCATTTGATATTTGTAAAATTATTGATAATAAAATTTAGTTGAAAGAAATTAAACAATTAGAAAAGTTTTTACATCCTTTTTGTAGAGAGTATTAAACAAATTACAAACTGAAAATGCCTGTCTTTTGATGTATTTCATAGTTTTGCTTATTTTTATAAAATTTGGCAAGTATATTCTAATCAAAATTTAAGCAAAATGACGATTTACGATTAGAAAACCTTAGAATATTTGGGAACAACCTTTATTATTAATTTTTTTTCTTTTTTATCCTGAATATAGAAATAATATTTTTATTCAAAATGATCAATTTATTTCTTTTACTCAATGAAGTAAATGGATGATTTATTATTTTTGTTTTTGGTTTGGTAAAATGCTTACTTTCTTATAGGTAAATTACAAAATTATAGAAAACAAGATTTTTCTTTTAATAATGTTTCATTAAACAAATTTCGTGATAGGATACTTAGTTTTTGGGATTTTGTATCTGCTTATATACTAGATTTAATTGCTTTATTTACAAAAATATTTGCAATTTGTATTAATATTACTTCAGTAGAAAGATATTTTCTATGATGAGATTTTTCATATAAATAAATGAAATTGTTTAGATGTATGTATTTTATATTTTTATTTATTACAATATAAATTTTTTATATAAAAATATTTTAATACATTTTTATTTTATTTTAGTCTGAAAAAGTACTTGTTATGAGTTAATTAAAGGAGAATTTTAAAGACAAAAATGATTAGAAAAAAATAAGACAAACAAATAAAAAATTTCAAGTTAAAAATATTGCAATACCAATTATTCAAAAATATTAAGATAATAAATGATTGATATAACAAATGATGAATTTTTAATAATTCTGAAGATGTAAATCATTTAATATTACATCAATTTGTAAATGAAAAAATTTAATTAATGAATGGATTAGTATGGTAAATGATGAAAGTAATGTAATTTAAATGAAGAAAATATTATTGATTTAGAATAATTCATTAATAATACTATGGATTTTGAATAAATCTTAAAAAAAAAGCATCTATTTTTTAATAAAAAGACCAAATAAAAATTAAGTAATATTTTCAATTTTGAAAAACTTCAACCACTATTAGCCTTAAACCGTCTGTCACTAAATTAACAAAAAATATATTTGCTAACAGGGAGTTAGGATAAACTATGAAAGAAATAAACATGATTTATTTATTTTGAAGAGTCAGATCATCTTTATTTATATAGATTTAAAGAATATTGAATTGGTAAAAAAACAATATTTAAGAGATAAAATATTATTGTTTATTAAAAGTTGGTAGTAAGTTCTGTCATTTAGCAAGTCAAAGATACGAAGTATTTACATAAAATAAAATAATAGTAAATAAAATATGATAAATATGAAAAATATGATAAATATAACTAATTTATCTAAACAAATAAATATAACATATATAACGCATATAATAAATCTGGTAAATTAGTCAAATATGACTAATATGACAGATTTGTTTAATTTGTCATAATAGTCAGATCAGCTAACTAATTTAAATCACATGATTGGCTATATTAGATCAGTGTAGCATGGATTATGTCTTCAATACTAACATATTTATCATCATTAAATAGTAAATTTTATTTTTTATAGGCTTTTCCTCTTCTTTGACAACTGTTATAAGATTGGATTTAATTTCTAATATCCTTAAACATTTGTGACCAAATAAACATTTTTTGAGTTTTTTTCTATCATCTTATCCTTTAAGGTATGAGTAGTAGTAGGGTTATTATTAAACATATAAAGTGTGGATTCTACTTCAAATTTTCTAAGAACTCATTAGATTATTTGAGTTATTTCAATTCTTTTTATATAATAAATTATATTAAATATAATAGTGTTTTAATTGTGTTTTTAATTTATTTTGCTGAATATATTCAAAGTTTTTAAGATATTCTTCTTTAGATAGATATATAAGTATAAATAAATTATTATATAATAGTTTATTTATCTTGGATGTTTATCATACTGCGAGCATTTAGCATTCATTAAAATAAATAAAAATATTTTTAAATAATTTAGATAATAAAATAATAAATAATTGTAGGAAGAATATCTAATTTTTAATCGATTAACTCTTCACTGAGTGAGTTGTTAATAAGATTTTGTGAATGTGATAAATATAAATATTATTTTTAATTTTAACTGCAAATGGTTCATTCTACTAAGATGAAATAATCAGGAAATTTGGATTCATATCTAATTGAATTTTTTTGATCCATATCCAATTTGTACAGTAATAGATCATAATTCCATATAATAAATTTCTCTTGTATAATTTGCAATAAGTTTGAAAGTGATAGTTTCTAATATCATAATCAAAGGTATATTATGATTCTTCTTTAGTGATCAGTTGATTAGTAATAGCCAGTTTGACTTTTATATTAATATAATAGATTTCCTCTATTTCACTTTTTGAGCTTTCATAATTAATTATAATAATTAGTGAACTGTTAAAATAGTACATCTTCAAACCATTTTTCTTCATTACTTTATGAGTTATTAGTAGAAATATACCATCCATATTCTTTTTCACTTTCACGGACTCAATTTAATATAAAATCAATAATATTATTAATTTTTAACAAAACATTGATGATTGATCGGATACTACGCCATCTATAAACAAATCACATGTAAATAAATCACATGTCCGAGGAAAATCATATTTGTTAACCAAATCAGATGATCGTGCTTCTGCCTTGCAACTAAAATAACATTATTATCTACAATTCAATGTAATTTAACGGAATAACTGAAACCGAATTTTCTAATAAAATTAGAAAGAACATTATCTTCTGAATACGGCATTATATCAAAATTTTATTGATAACAAATCCGGCAAATAAATATGTAAATTATTTTCTATTGTCTTCTTAATAAATTCTTGAAGGTTGATTGTCGAAAGTAAATTGCGACAAAACAACAATATTACCTTTGGTTTTACAACCTCTGTATTCATATAACATCAATTCAAAAAGAATTATTCTTTGTTAAGTAATTTTGTGTAAAGTAACAGGTCAAAATGTTTTACAACACGTAACTTCTTTTCAATAGTAATATGTAATATTTATACTCTATTTTTCGGGTAATTAATTAATAATCTTGGACCTGAACAAAATTTAAAAGCTCGTCAAGGTTCTCTTTGGATGTACTGTTTACTTTTTTTTTTAATCTTTATTAGTATATTGAATCTCTCATTGACATCTATGTCAAAACACATCTTTTGCGCCAACTGTCTATACTAATTTTGCTACTTCAAAAAAATAATCAATTTATTTAAAAAATATAAACAATTAATCATGCATGAATACAAATATGCCTTCAATTTAGAAGTTAGAAATGACCTAAAAATCCTTAACCGATTAAATTTAACTTTGGTCGGACTTTAAATTAGTGAGAATATTTTGTAATCACAAAAATCTTAATTCTGGCAAATGTTTAAATTTCAGCCTAGTTAAATTTAATTATTTTAACCGATTAAAGAAAACCGAGTAAACAAGTTAACTGTCTTTAAAAAGTTAATTTACCGGTTAAAAGTTAACCGGTTCCAACCTAAATAGTATTAAAAGTGGTTCGTTATACTTATTGGAACTTATTTAGTTACCCGCTCTTTACAATTTCATAAGACTAGTCATATTGAACTCTTGGTTCAAATTTAAAATGTCTATTAATTACTTGCAGATTTCTTTTGATTATTCTTCTATTATAGTACAAAGCATCTGCAATTTAAAGTATCAGCCAATTTTCAAAAATGCTTGGTAGTTAGAAACCGTGCAAATACGTCTTCTTCTTTCCATTTTAGATTCGAAAATTTTATAGATCTGTTGAGAGCATCTTTCTTCTGTAGTGTAAGCTGTTTTCTGTTTGGTATCCTTCTGAAGCTATTTGGACGATAAGAATTGATTTTCTAATCCGAATTTTCTTGATAGTTTTAGCACATGACATGACCTAGAAATGACCACAAATGGCCTTAAAATAATCGAATTTATTATAACTTTTAAAAACGTACTTCAAAAAATTGGATAACCAAAAACTTTAAATACTTACATCATCAACATTTATTTTTCTAATAACATCATTATCATCATTATCTGTACCACGTTTAAAGCCTGATAATAGGCTGATTTATAATTTTCGATTGAAAAAAAAATAAATATCAATCCTTCTGTCGATTATTTTGAGAGATAATATCGGAAGCAAATGGATTCTCTTCTTTTCTTTATAGGAATCCCACTTAATGTGTAGTGTAGGAATTGTAATTAAAGTACTTAAGCTCGCTCAATTCCGAGGGTTGAAAATGTCGTAAAAAATGAACTTTTTTATTAAACATAGGAAAATTTTATCAGTCTCATATCTCTTTTTCTTATCAATCTTCATAAGTACGAAGAAGTTTCAAGTTTTTTTTATCAAACTTCATAAAGGCTGAAATTAGAAAAATTACCAAGCTTTTATAAGGATAAAAGCATAACTTCGATAGTCATCCTGAATTCTTGATCAAATAAATATTCTAAATGGGATATCATTATTTACTTCTATTTTTCATATGCTATTTCTAGCCCGTAAATGGCACCCACCAACGGTTAAAATGTATAGTTAAGTGATAAAAAATGAATTTTTCATTTACAATAAACGTCAATATTTATACAATAATCTAAGTCGAAACCACCGTCAAAAGAATGAGTAAAATCTTGGAAGACAATAAGATTCTATAACGGTAAGTAAAATGTTGTTGGAAATAATTAAAAGAATTTAAAAAGCCATTTGCTTCCCGCTCTCTAATCCATTGATATTAATAAATATGTTTTTAATCCTCATCCGATACATTTGTTTTTCATAAAAAAAATTATTCACAAATCAATTATGATAACTTTTTGTTGCACATGTTATTTTATATGGAATTTGATATATTAGAATCTAAAAAGCTAAAAGTAGAACAGAGCAGAGCCAAATAGTTATCCTTTTGGAAAGAAAGGTAATGAAAATTTTTGATATAAAAATTAACACATTTTTCTTATTTTTTTTTCTGTGGAAATAACGACATAATAAATTTCATATTTTGCTAATTGTGATATTTTAAAGTACCATAAATGTTGTGTTAACAAAGAAAATTTTCAAAGCAAATTTTTTGTAAAATGCTTAACGTGATATAGCTACTTATAATTGGTTTAGCTATTGTAAAACGTATTTTAATATTTATCCGTATTTATTAAATACAATGTAAAATCAAAAAATATCCTTATATCTGATAAAAGTATATAAGTAAATTTTTTAAGGCAATGGTAAATTCCTCGGCAGAAATAAGTTTTATGTTAAATTTCCGTAAGTTAAATGATGAATTTGATATTGAAAAATCGCCAAATCAATTTTCTTGTGGTAACATCCTTTTACAAAGAATCTTTGACAAATTTTTAAACAAAAAAACATTATCCTACGTTTCGAAATGAATTTTCCAAAAGATCAATTTATTAGCAAGTTTCTTTTATTCAAAAATGATTTTGCCTTAATGGTGCATAAAACCCAAGAATTAACACGCAAAATATTATAATACCATTATATACACAAATATTTGCGTGCTAAAACATGGGATTCTTAGCTTCATGAATTATAATTTAATAAAACAGTTAATCATGATATAATTGAATGTCCCAATTTACAAGAAAAATGTAATAAATTAGTTTCATAATTTTGTTTTAACTTTTTAATTATGCTACAAATTATTTTTTTTTAAAATATAAATATTTTTTAATTTATTGGTTATAATAAATTTATAACCAATACTAAAAATATTAGGGCTTATATTAAAAAAAAACTGTTTAAAGTTCTCCGTCATGTTCAAAGATTACTTACATTATCTAAATTAGGGAATTCTATTACAAAGAATGTTTAGATAACAAATAACATATTAGGAAAAAATTTCTGTTCCTATATTAATTAGAAAAAACGAAAAATAGTATTTTATTTTTTTTTTTATTTTTCGATTTTAAAACTTTTTTTTCAGTGCAATTATACTCTATTAACAAAATTAAATTTAGTTGATTCACTTTTTTAATTATTTAAACACTAAAATAAATTTCAGAATTCCGATTTAACTAGAACTTCTAATAATTGTTGTCCAAAGCTTGCTTCTTGTTGTTACCCATATTGTTTACTAGTGGTGCATTCAGTTTATATTTATAAACGAATGTAATATAGCAGAAGGTAATAATTATGCAAAATTTCTTTAATAAAAATTAATAAATCAGTACTGCCTCAATTTCGTTGGCGCTCTGTACTTTACGGAATTAATTTTATTAATGTACTATTAAAGATATCAAAATAAGGAAATATCGTGGAAATTATTTATCATTAAAGATATCATTAAAAGCAACTGTCTCCTCAAACCCAAACATCATTCCCGTGTTTTTAATTTATACAATTTTAATTGACGTAAAGTAACTTGACTATCGTATAATAATTAACTATTTTATAAATAATTGTTTTAAATAAATTCCTTTCTTTTATTTTAGAAAAAGATAAAATACAAATCAAAAATTTGTCATATGCTTTCCAAGGCCATTAATCTTCCAAAATCATTCAAGTCATTTTTTTTAAAGAACTGAGACTTTTTGGTAAATATGATATCTATAAATTATTTCATGTTTTAAAAGAAATTAATTATGTCTTTATGTAATTTTATTTTAGCAGGATTATAAGACAAAAATGTGATTGAACAATTAATTGAAACTACAAATCTTCATATGAAATATAAAAATAGCATTTATTAATTTTATATCATTTATTAAGATAAAGGCATTTTAAGAAAAAAATTAAAAGTATAATAGTTTAAAATTTAAATCAGATTATAAATTAACATATTTTTTTAAAAAAATAACAGGTCTATTCCATATAATAATTAAACCGATGGCCCGTGATGAGTAATGGTTCTCATTAGATTACCATTAAAATTTGCAATTAAAAATATTTACCCATTCTTATTTTCAGATAATTTACCAATGAATGCTTCACAAATTTCGGGATAACCGTTATTTCTTTCGATTATATTTTTAATCTTCTTGCAATTTGACAAATCCAAAGATCCCAATTTATTATTATAGCATGAGAAACTTTCTAAAGAGTTAGGCAAAGTTGGTAGGCTATTTATTTGTGCATTGTGACAATAAAGAAATTTTAAAGAGTTGGGTAGAGATGGTAAGTTGGTTATTTCAGTATTGTCACAATAAAGTTCCGTTAAAGTGTTAGGTAAAGTTGGTAACATTGTTATTTTAGTATTTTCACATCGGAGAATTGTTAAGGAGTTAGGTAAAGTTGGTAAGTCGGTTATTTTAGTATATTCACATCGTAGTAATGTTAAGGAGTTTGATAGAGCTTGTAAGCTTGTTATTTGTGTTTGAAAACAATAGAGTTCTTTTAAGGAGTTAGGTAAAGTTGGTAAGTTGGTTATTTTAGTATTATCACATCGAAGAATTGATAAGGAATTAGGTAAAGTTGGTAAATTGGTTATTTTAGTATTATCACATCGGAGAATTGATAAGGAATTAGGTAAAGTTGGTAAGGTGGTTATTTGAGTTTCATGGCAATAAAGTTCGATTAAGGAGTTAGGTAAAGTTTGTAAAATTGTTATTATAGTTTTACCACAGTTGAGAATTGTTAAGGAGTTAGGTAAAGTTGGTAACATTGTTATCTTAATATTATCAAATCGAAGAATTGATAAAGAGTTAGGTAAAGTAGGTAAGGTGGATATTTGAGTTTCATGGCAATAAATTTCTTTTAAGGAATTGGGTAAAGTTGGTAAGTTCGTAATTTGAGTTCCATAGCAATAAAGTTCCATTAAGGAGTTTGGTAAAGTTTGTAAAATTGTTATTTTAGTATTACCACAGCTGAGAATTGTTAAGGAGTTAGGTAAAGTTGGTAATTGTGCTATATTAGAATTAAAACATCGAAGAATTGATAAGGAATTAGGTAAAGCTGGTAAGGTGGTTATTTGAGTTTCATGGCAATAAAGTTCGGTTAAGGAATTTGGTAAAGTTGGTAACATTGTTATTTTAGTATTACCACAGCTGAGAATTGTTAAAGAGTTAGGTAAAGTTGGTAATTGTGTTATATTAGTATTGTAAAATTGAAGAATTGATAAGGAGCTAGGTAAAGCTGGTAAGGTGGTTATTTGAGTATCATAGCAATAGAGTTTTGTTAAGGAGTTAGGTAAAATTGGTAAGGTGGTTATTTGAGTTTTATGGCAATAAAGTTCGGTTAAGGAGTTAGGTAAAGTTGGTAATTGTGTTATATTAGTATTATAACATTTAAGAATTGATAAGGAATTAGGTAAAGATGGTAAGCTTGTTATTTGAGTTTCATAGCAATAGAGTTCTTTTAAGTTGTTGGGTAAAGTTGGTAAGGTGGTTATTTGAGTATTATGACAATTCAGTTTCATCAATGAATTAGGCAAAGTTGGTAATTGTGTTATTTTAGTATTTTCACAACGTAGAAATGTTAAGGAGTTAGATAGAGTTGGTAAACTTATTATTTGAGTATCAAAGCAATAAAGTTCCGTTAAGGAGTTGGGTAAAATTGGTAAGGTGGTTATTTGAGTGTCATGGGAATAAAGTTCGGTTAAAGAGTTAGGTAAAGTTGGTAACATCGATATTTTAGTACTCTGACATCGGAGAATTGTTAGGGAGTTAGGTAAAGTTGGTAAAATGGTAATTTTAGTATTATCACATCGGAGAATTGATAAGGAATTAGGTAAAGTTGGTATGGTGGTTATTTTAGTATTGTCACATCGGAGTATTGTTAAGGAATTAGATAGAGTTGGCAAGCTGGTTATTTGAGAACCTTGGCAATAGAGTTCTTTTAAGGAATTAGGTAAAGTTGGTAAACTGGTTATTTGAGAATCGTTACAATAGAGCTTTGTTAATTTTCGATATTTTTGTAATCCACTTGAGGTGTTTAATATTTCCTTATTAGTATCTGTAATAATAAATCTATCAATCGTATCATCATAAATAATTGATTCTAGATTTTTTGATTCTTCCTTTCAATTCGTTAATAACGTCTTGATTGGCCTTGCTTACTTCTTTTAGTTCTCTAACTTTTTCTTCTAAATTACTATTAGTTTCTTGGTTGGCTTTGGCTGCTTCTTCTCGTTCACTAGCATTTTTTTCTAAATTACTATTAGTTTCTTGCTTGGCTTTGGCTTCTTCTTCTCGTTCTCTAGCATTTTTTTCTAAATTACTATTAGTTTCTTGTTTGGCTTTGGCTTCTTCTTCTCGTTCTCAACCTTTGCTTCTAAATTACAGTACATAAAGTTTCTTTGGATTCTTCTACCTTTTCTTCTATATATTTTAATTGTGAACGTAATCCTTCGTTATTTTGCTCTAATTTCTCAATTCTAGATTCCAAGACCTTTAATGTTTTTTTTTTAGATTGTTCTTTAAAACCATTTTTGGTATTAAAGAAATATAATAGCAAAAAAGGATTTTTCAATTTTTTTTCAGCCCTCGGTTTAAATATTTCCCCATATGTAATGAATTTCCATAAATACTCTAGTTAAAACAATTATTTATATCAGATTATCGGTAACGGACCTTTCCAAATAAAGTTAACCGCACCGCAAATTATAATTATATTATATAATTAGATAAATTATGTATATATTCTAAATTTCGCTCGAAGTTCAATTCCTATTTATAACCTTCTATAAATAGGTCTTAAATTATTAATAGCCTTACAAATCCTAATCTTTTATTTTCTTTTTTAATATTTTATCCGTAGATACATAGGTGATAAAAGGAAAGTTAATTTATTGCAAGTGATCCTAAAAATTTTCAGTTAATTTCTAAAATTGCATTTTTCGTGACAAAAATCTATATCTGGAGATATTAATATCCGCAATTGTCCGCCCGGATTTATTAAGGTGAAATTCCGTAATTATGATAACAACTTTTTTTAATTTATGACTAGGCTAACTTTGAACGTTATTGGAAAGATAATAGAAAACGAGAAAATCTAAAATTTAATTAAAATGTCATATTAACAAATATTCGAATTTACGTCTCCTTTTCCTGAAAGGTCCAGATATGAAACCAATGATTCTGATCTTTTAATTCATTAAGAGCCGGTTTTTATTATAACTTTATATTAAATTGAATTTTATATCAGCTAATGGAAACGCATCTCGTCATCGTCATCAAAAGAAAATGCCATCAAATGCATTTTATCATCATTACCGTCGCATCCATCTGTGCAGAGCAAAAAAGTGCTGAAGGTTCGAGTTTATAGTATACATTATAAACATATTTATTGCATGATATATTTATCATAATTAGCTATCATTAATTTTGCGTACTTTAGATAAAGTCTTGCAGCACTGGCAAAAAAATAATGCAAAGCTTGACCAAAATCGTAAAAAGGCAGAAGGAATTAGAAACGATCGATGCTTATCAATCAAAAGACAAAATTGATGAAATTAAATCAAAATATGAGAGATTTATATTACAGTAAGCGATTTAAAATTATCCGACAAATTTTTCACGAACACAAGCAATTAACAGATAACGAACTTAAAACTCGCCTAAGATAAAATAAGGCAACAATAAATATTGTGTAAATCAGCTTTAAAAGCTTTAAAAGCTGAAAGATAATGGAGTTTGTTATGATGATTTATGGGACGAAACGTTATATCCAGCAGTTAGTATTATTATTTATAATTTAGTTGTCATATTCTATATTGATCATTAACCAATAATTTATTGATTAAACTAATAGTTGCTTAAGGCAAATCATACCAAGAAGGGGTACTTTTACTCGCCATGTAAAAGAAAGCCTATGGTTGTCTTCAGACTTAATAGAATCAAGCCGCCCTTTGAAGACAAGGAGAAAATTAAAGAGTGGAAGATAAGCAAAGAGGTATAAGTGATGTATGATGATTTATATTATTCAAGCAAGTGATTCAAATAACTCATCATCAGAACATCATCATGTCGGATTTTCCCTCTGACAAGAAACTAACGCACGAAAATGCTATTTGGACTAAATCAGTCCTCAAAAAAGCTCTTGATGTTGAATAACTCTCATTGAAAATTGTTACTGAGATGATTGAGTCGTAGAGTAATTAACGTACTAGCAGAAACGTTTATTGCTTTATAAACTTTATATCTTTATAATATTATTAAATACTTTTAATTACAATGTAGATGTACAGAACGAGGATATGTTTCACTGATGAAGAGTCGCGCGATTTTATCAAAGCCATAAAAATTGTGCAGAATTTTGTGGAAGATTAAAGGTCTTTAACACCGTTATTTATATATTGAAATGTACATGTATTTTAACGTAGAAATTAATTGCATAGAATAGTATATATATTATTAATAAAATTATTATAAATTACATTAATTGCTCTATTGTATTATTGTGTCAAGTAATGCATAATCAACACTATTATACAACACCTTTATTCAAGCATTGTTTAATAAAAAGACGTACTTTCTGATTGAAAATTGTATTGTTCCTTGACAATGATGAAAAATTATTTTGAAAGATATTGTTTTTTTGAATAATTTTATAATAACCAATGGAAATGAATCTTTTATGAATTTGCTTTATGATTGACTAGTTTATTAATAAATATCAAGGAAATAAAAAAATATTTTTGAAATAATTTTATTCATATATTAAGGTCACTTGCTATCAAAATTAAGTTAAGAAACATAATCACAAGTAACCTCCCATAAGTGCAGAAGTGATAAATCAGTATATTAGAAATTACTGAAGAAATCTTGAATTTTTTTTTTTTAGTTTATATTAAAGTTAATATGAATTGCCTGGGAAACCCTTTGTTTCATAATACAATTTTATTAACAATTTCATCCAAACTTGAAGCATAATAAAATTCCTCAAAGTCAAATGTATATTAATTTCTTACTAACTTAACGAGTGTTTCGATTTTGCAATTGCTAAAATGCCAGGTAACTCTAAAAAGAATTGACTAATTTTAAAAAAATGAATCTATTATTGATATTGAAAAAATAAATATATATCTCTATATTAAAATTAAATAATGACAGGTTTTCAGAAATTTCTATTATATAAAATTTAAAATGTTATAATTTTGTGTAAAATTTAAGATAGTAATTACGGAATCTTCGTTATATTCCATAAAAAGTTACATCCCAGTCCGTAATTCATTTCTAAACTTTCCTTCATATCATAGTATAGCAATAACAATTCTTCATATATTTCACATCTTCCTTATACATAAATACACTTATTATTGAAGGAATGTAAGTGCTCTAATGCCGTTAAATTAAATAATCGATCATAATCATATTTATCAATATGATTAATGTCTTTTTTTATGTATTCGAGTGTCATCAATATTCATCGTATATTGTTAAAAAATTCATTTGTTCAGTGCCGAATTGTTTCGTGCGTGGATATTTGTTAATGCGAGCGAATACGAGATCATTTGTCTAAAAAAAACGTAAAATTTAACAGTTAGAGCATGTAAAAAGTAAAATTAATTTTGTTTAAACTATTTCAAGCGTTATAAAATCACGATATATACTATTAAATTTATCAGAAAGATTTATATAATTCATAACATATATGTACTAATAAATATTTTATCGTATATCGTATAGGAGATATAATCAAAAAAGGCCATTTTTTTTCCTTCCTTAAATATACAAAAAATTCTATTCAAATAAAATACCGCCCATATTTATAGAGTTAAAAATATCACCAAATTTAAAAAGTTGAGAGTTTTCGATTTCTTTAAAAAATTGTAATTTTTCGATGACTGTGGTTTAATCATAAATGATAAAAAACTAGTAAACGTCTACCTTATAAAAAGGTAAATGAAATGAAAAGCAATCAACAGCATTATTTAAAGTTTTTTGGGAGATTATAGTATTCTTATTATATACAATAGTTTAAAATTGTGTAGCTTTTGTAGAATTGAATCATAAACGAACCAAACAAGGTTCAATTCATCTATATATTTACGCAAATAGAATGCAATGTATAACGCTTTGAAGTTGGTTGTTTTTATGTAATAATTGCGTGATTGCTGTAAACGAAAACACATAACGTTCATTATTATACACATCAAATTACCAAAAAAAAAATCACTCGTATATAATAATAGACATAGCATGCTTAAATCGTAAAATTTTAATTTTTTTTTTAGACGAACACATAAAACAATCAACTACTTCAAAAAAATCAAGTTTCATTATTTAAATACTACAGAATCCACTCACATTCGCATTCCTCCCCTTGATACGATGTATTTGCATCCCTGCTCACTCACCCTGACAAAATTGCACAACCATGTGGTGTAGCATATTGATATATTTTGAGTGTGCTGGAGGTCTATATTTTTTTAACCGGTTTAAGAATTTTTTAACCGATTATTAACCGGTTATGGATTTTTTGGTCGGATTCAACCTCTAGTTCAATTACGTACTGTATGTTTAGAGATTACTTAATTAAACTTGCAATTAATTTAAAATTTGCATAAAATTAAAATTTATAAAATTTATGTAATCCAATAAAAAAAATATTGGAAAAAAATTTTTTTTTAATATTATTTTTTAATTTCGCAAAACAATCTTTTTTTTATGAAAAAAAGAATCTTATATCTTATCAAAATGATTAATTGCTAATTCAATTCTCGTTCCTATATTTAGCGATTAAAAAGAAAAATAAAATTTTTATTAATAATTATAAAAAAAAGAGAATTTTTAAATTATGATAACTTTACGTTTCCGTAAATTCATGATATTTAATTTTATAATATTAAAGATTGATAGGTTGTCACCATTAAAATTTCTTCGATATTGTCTTTAATAAAAAAAATTTGCAAAATTTAAAAAAACTAATTCTATTTTGTTTGCCGAATCTAATCTCATCGACGAATGAAAACATCGAAACCAAGTAAATACTTTGTTTAATAATATTTATTTTTTACCAACCAGACGATCTCTTTCATTAAAAATTATATAATTTTATGATCAAATTTTTATTAATTGACATATCTGACAATTACGATAATTGTAAGAATATCTTGTGTAATAGATAGTTATTTGGTCAAATAAAAAGACAAAATTCTGTGTTTACCAAATACGTGAATTATGATTTATATTGACGTAGCTAATGACTTTTAGTTCATTTTAATGAGCAAATATTTTCGACTAAATCAGAAAAAGTATAGGTAATTGACTCTATCACTCATCACGGCTTACTTTACTATGCTAGTAATTAGTAAAATTATTTTTCTAGTAAGTTAAACAATATTACTTTGCAAAGATTCTGTTTTCCTATTTAAATAATCAGTATTTGAAATGGTTTCATTTTCTCATAACATAATTCATATAAATAATCCTTTTCAAGAACCAAAAGCTCATTATCACCTGCATCTGAATAATAAAATTATAAATTTTATACAAGTATTTGTATATTATTTATTTTTAATTTACTTTATTTGAATGAGAGGAGATATCTACCATTCGGAAGCTTCCAATGTGATAAGAAATTGTGCAATACACAGGGATATTAATTAATGACAATATATTCATATTATTCCAAAAAGGTATTACAATTAGTTCTAATGCAATACAAGTTGATCATACGATTTTTTTCTAAATTTCTCTCTTCACCTTATGCTCAATTCAATCTTCATTAATTATCTAATAAAAAAAATAATATGAAGCAAGTAGAAATTTCATAAATCTCATATTAAGTCTTAAACTACAATAATAAAATAAATAAGAATAGTTCAGTCTTAGACTCAATCGCAAATATTGACTTTCGTCTGCATTAATCTTTGAAGTATTAAATCTTCAATCCTATCCTGTAAAAAAATTATTGTATCATAAAATTGTAAAAAAATTGGTCAGAACAAATTCATCATCATGACAGCTTGTGATTTCCGATTATTATAAAAAGTGTATAGCTCTTTAAATTATTTTGCACCTTTTCATTTGGAATATAAACGATTGCAATGTCCCGGTTTGATTTCCGGATCCAAACTTGGTTATATTACCAACCAATTTTGATAGTAGATAGTATAAAGTATTGAGCAAACATATCTTCGTCCATGATGCACTTGGTTGACACATTAGTTAGATTAAGAATTTCATAGTTAGATTAGATTAAGACTTTAGATTTATTGTCCTCGATCATATTAAAATATTTTGGTTTCAAGTTTAGTGACAACTGCATCATTAAAATGTACCTAGGGTATAGGCTTTTATCGTGTACCCCCCCCATATAAATATTTTTTTTAAAAAATAAATATCATATGGAACAGACAGATTAAGAGTCTATACCCCCAGATTCCCATAGCGACAATACAATGTAATCACGTGCTATCGTAAAATCATGTGATTTCTAAAAACGAGACTGAAAATAAGGATGCGAAAGATGCAAGAAATAAATAATTATAAAGTATGGAGTAAAAAAAATAAAAAAAAAGATACATGAAAGAGATAATATATACATATATAGAAAAGTTCATTCGTGTTTAATATTTGGTGAAAGTAGAGATCCAAGCTCATAAGATATTTTTTATATTTATCTGCATAATTTTTGATCTAATAAAGATATGTTAATATGTGCAAATGAATAAATATCAAGATTGTACTTTCTTTTTCATATACTGTTTAGGAATAATTAACTCTACACTCTTTTCATAGTATAACACCACATCGTCATAGATTTCAAATAGATCTTATCTAGTATATACATGTATATATAAAAATTAGTATCGATATAATACTGACTATGTAAATAAATTTTATGAACAAGAAAAAAATATTTGAACGAGAGAAAAAGTTTTTTTGTTTATATGTATCAGATCATACGATTTGTTCAATAATCACATGAACTTTACATATTAATAGTGAATGAGATGTCTAAATTAATTGGTTGAGCATGTTCAAAACCTTCATTGTAGTCAAAAGACCTTATATAACAAATTAAGAAGAAGAATATTAAGGAATTTGTAAACCATATAAATGTGATATGTCAAATCTATTTTAGCAGTTAAACCTATATTTGAAAAGGTTTCTTTTAAGATTTCAGATATTGAATTTATTATTGTAATAATTTTATTAAATGTCTAATGCGTTTATCGTTTTCTTGCTAGCATTGAATCAAAATTAAAAAATATACTATAAAGATTAATTCAAAATTTTTATATTTGAATCTTGATAAAAAGATTGAGCTTTAAATTGAACTTTAATTAATTAAAAAAAGTTATATACCGAGAATAAAATTTAAATGAAATTTCGTTTAATACATCACTTAAGCCCGAATAAATGAAAAAATACTTGCGAGACTATGTTTAAAGTAAAGAATTAGGTGTATTCCGGAGTAATGAAGCTCAATTCGAAATTTTTTTGAACGATCTCAAATAATAAGTTGTCCATCATTGATATTACTATTATTTAATTTAATAAACTTCAGGAGCTAATAATTTTTGTTAATGTAAGAATCCTTTGTTGGAAAAGTATACTTACTTGCCTATGGAAATCACAATTAAATTCCATGAGCGCAGGAAATCATTATCAATAATACTAACTTACTGATCATATTTTGGAAATGGATACAATAAATTCTCTGGCATCTCATAGTTTATTCTATACCTAATTTTGAATAGTGATTTAATTTATAAATTATTTATAAATACATAAATTGCGTAGAATACGTGATGTATGTACAAATTAAATATTGGACAATAATATACACATTTGATCTAACCTTTTTCTGATCGAAATAACAGAATATCAAGTTATTATCTTCACTTTTTACCACTAATAAAGTTGCCGCTACCAATGTTACCGCCAAATTGCCATCAAAGCTACCGCCAAAGTTGCTGCCAAAGTTACATCTATCAAAGTTGCAGCTACCACCAATGTTGCTGTTTCTACTACCACTAACACCACCACAATTAAAGCTGCTGCTGCCCTATTATAATCTTGAGTTCATCCATGATGTTAATAATTTCTCAGAAATTCTGTATACTATGGAAAATCATGAATTAGTTTAAAAGTCCAGAAGTTGCTTCATTGCAAAAAGATCAATAATTCAAGAAAATATTCATACCTTATTTCTGTAAGTATCTTGTCTAATATTTTTCCAGCATTCCATGTCAAAATAATTGTTCCAAAAATATCTATGCGAATTAATCCATCTTCATTACAATGACACTGGACAAAAGATACGGATCAAAAATCCTTTACATAGTCAACTCCACAAATGTTGTTAATAGAATTAATAATATCCATTTCAAAGAGACAAAGACTTCATGAAAAGATAAACATAAATTACAAAGCACTCATGAGTAATTATTTGATTGAGACAGACAACAAACCTAACAGAAAAAGGAATAAAATAAATATTGATAAAAATTGATATAATTAAATGATGTCATGCAAGCAGCTGAATGACAAGTTGTACCTGTGCAATCGGATAGTCGTAAAAATGAAAAGAAATTTTTATACAGTTTCTAGATATCTAAAATACATAAGTATCGAGATATTATGATAATTCGTATCAGAAAAATGATGAAAAATCTATCTATGATTGCTTCCAACCGTTATGCAAAATATTTTCTGATTCTTTCTCAGAAAACCATGGTTCTATCTATGACTTTTTGTTGATTGCTAAAAGATAATTGTAATTCATCTTTTAATGAAGGCTATGAAAATAAAGAAATTGATTAGATATTTTTTTTTTAAATAAATGGTGCAACCGATGAATAAATATCAAAAGAAAAATACATAAGGGTATTATTTTAGTCATAATTGATTAGTGCGCTCATGACGAATTTAAAAATGTGAGCTTTGTAATTCTTACATAAACATACTTTAATTAGGAAAATGTATTTCGTAAAAAGAATAATAATAAAAGCATCATCAAAGCGTTATAAATTTATTTATGGAAATATTCATTCAGAAGCATTTAAAGTATAATCATATAATTCGAATGACTCACCATACTTCTGTTTTCTCTCAAAAGATTATAAATTTTTTATGGCGTTGGAATGCCATTCCAAAACGGCTGGTAGATAAGCAGTTCATGCTAAAGGAGCAAATTTTGTTACGCAGCTACTTCCTAATTTTAGTAAGATGTTTCCATATGACGAAGAAAAGGAACTCAGAATTTTATGTTAACTGTAGTAATTTCTGGTAATTTGTTATTATTATTGTATATAAATACAAAAGTAAATTGGAAGTAAATATAACTTTGGTATTGATGCTTCCGGTCCTAGAGAAGTTGAAAAAAGTAAATTTTATTGCAATAAAGGTTTTAAAGTTTATTATGACACAAAGTCACATGAATATTTCGATCTCTCGCCTAAACTAATCTGGCTATTTTTTTTTTTTGAAAGACCCACTCATCATCTTTTAACTTGTTACTTAATAATTAATAAGTTAAATGATGATGATGAAAATTTATTATTTCTTCTATTTAACTGATTTATTTGAAGTATGAGAGTAAGATCCACTTTGATACAAAGATGTATTCCAAATTCTTCTTTACGAAATTCAATTTTTATTATCAATATAATAAAATATTGTAAATTATCTAGACTTATAAAAAATAAATGTAATATTGCAAAATAACAGTACAAATTTAATATTTAATTTATTACTCTTCTATCGATTTCAAAGAACGCAACCAAGTGTTGTCTTATGAGAAATAAAAATTAACGATTATTAAAATTCATCCAATATAATATCTTGCGTTAAAAATATTTTAAAAGAAATTATAAACCCAACAACAAATTTACATTTAAATATTTGATTGTTACCAGAAATAAAAATTAAAAATTAAAATTACTAAAATTAACCGGTTACTTACGAGAACAACTCGAAAAGTTTATTAGGCAGGCCGAGCAAATACATTTAATAAAATTTATAAAAATTTTTATTATATTTACCTGTAACACACGTGATACCATATTTTATTATTCAACATAAGATTATTTTTTAAAATTTTCTATTGATCACATCGGCAGTATTGGGCTAGTTGTCGGGATGAAGCGACCACTTGGGTATGGGGTGGGAAACGCGTCAGCGGATCGACTCCTAGTCTAGTCGAAGTGAAGTCAAAAAAAATCTTTTTTTATGTAATATTTATGTCACGTGACCTTTATCTAATAAATAACTGTGTGTACAGTGTACAATAAAATTTTATTGGACAAAATTAGGTTGACTTTGTGTAACATTTATCTTGGAAAAAAGATTCTCGCAAAATTTTAAGTTTGTTTACAAGAGAAGCTTATATTCCTGATATATATTAATAAAAAAAAAGAATTTCGCAATAATTTTCAAAGAGAATATTCGCGTTTAAAAAGAAGAATGTTAAAAAATAATACTCAAAATTTATCATTTAAGTGTTACCATGTGTTTCAAAGTAGTATTTTATGGTTTATTAAATTTAATCGTTATTATTTAATAAAAAAAGATTAATTTTACATTAAAAAGTCTAAATTAATTTTCACCATTCAAGATTTTCAACTTTATACAATCTACTATCAAGTTTGAAACCAGAAAATTTGCAAGAGTTTATATTATTGTTATAAGAAAATTCAGTATAGAAGAAACACTGAGCACAATATTTAATCAAATAGGTCAGTAAGGAGGCCATTATTATTGCTTGAGTCATCTAAATATCTATCCAAATGGATGACTTGTTGGTTGTGTAAATGAAAAAAAAAGAAATATCAAAAAAGGAAAATCAAATATGATTTCTTTGTTGACACATGATCCACACCATGAAATAGTAAATTTCGTCATAACAGATAAGGGTAAGTGTTTTCTTTTTTTGAGTTATTACTTTTATAATAATAACGATAATCGTAAATATAAAAATATTTATCATAGCAAAATAGAACTATAAATCCTCCAAATTTTTATTTTTGAATCAAATGATGCAAAAAGTACATGATAATGATAAGGATACAAAATATCACGTACATCTCCTTACCTTTGTCTATCTGCGTTTAACAGTTTTATTTATATAAAACAAACCTATCCTTTTTAATTTTGGCACACGAGATTGGACAGAGCATGCAACTTCTGCCTGAATTGGTCTTCATTATATCCATATTTTTCAAGTCTGATTGTTTTTCTTTTTTCTAACCTTTTATAAGAATAAAAAAAAACATTTATAATAACAAATTAAATGAACTGTAGAAGAAGAAGCAATATGTAGATATTGAATCATGCATGACAGTAATATGCTGACTTGATGGTTGCATTCCAGCATTTAAAACGTAACTTTTAAGTAAATTGGAGATGCAGGTTTAGTCGGATGAATCAATGATTATCACCTGACCAAAGGTTTCTGTAAAGTTTTTGACCACAATCTTTCTAACTTTATAATTATATTTTATATCTTAATTATACGGGTCAAATTAAATAAATTAATATATCTTTATTTGCAAAAAATAGCTAATAGCTTAAAATATTGAAAAAAAGCAAAAATAGAATAACATTTCTTAAGGATAATCGTATTTAATCTAAGATCAATATTCGTAAATTTTTTAATTCTTAAATATAACCTACTTTGATACCAATTAACAATTTAAATTATATAATCCATACTTTACGGCTCCTTGTGCAGTTGCAACTATTGTTCTAGTGGGAACAGAAATATTCATTGAGTTCTGTAAATATTTTGATTCACCAAAACTTCCAATTAAGAACAATTCTGAACACATATACCGACTTCTATCGAGTTCTGTATGAATTAACTGAATTAAGTTTTTGATAAAAGGGTCAAAGATCGACTTTATGTCATTAGAACCAAGCTCAATTGTCCATTCAATTGATTCTAAATATTTTCTACTCTCATCAGAAATATATCGTTTTACTATAGGAATTGTTTCATCAATATCCAACTCATAAGTAAAGTCTTTTTCTGCACCCGTAAAAGGTAATATACACCGTCGAGAAAATTCTCGAATTAAATATTGCATCTGCACATAATAATTGTCACTTAACAAATTAAGAGGTCTATCACCAAGCTTTTTACGCAAGTATTTAATAAATTCAGAATTAATAAAAGTATTTCCACATTTGTAAGATTTTTTAGTAACTAGATCCACTTTTTTTTCATTATTAAGTTTAAAAATAGTCAAATTTACTGTTTCATCACAATCGACAACCATAAAAGGTGCTGTAGATGGTAAGTTTAATTATAAAATAAAAATCTCAGTCAATTTTATACGTACTTCCTACTTTATTCAGATCGTGCTCTCTAAAAATACAATATATTGCTGCAGCTTCAGCTATAATAACATTAAATTAGAAATTAAAGTTCAAAAAGATCAAATCATAAGTTAGAGAATTCCCTTACCTTCTGTAATTAATTGCAATTTCCTTGAACATTTATCTTTAATCAACCCTGCTTTAAACGCGCATTCTCTCATAATCACTTTTGCGTTATCCGAATATTCTTCAGGACATGTAACAACTAATAATATGTTTGACAAAAAATTAATTCCTGGATATCGTGTTGAAATTGTCTCCTTCATCACCTTAAAAATATCATTACATTAAAATTAATAATAAATAAATTAAAGATTTAGAGAATTTGTTCATAGAATTTGATCATACTATTCCGATTTCTCTAAGATAATCAGTCATAGCTTTTATATATTCAATTTGGAGTTTCGGTTTTAACTTATCCGGTAAATTGCTCAAATGTGAATTAAATAATTGAACCGGTTTCGTTTTATTATCTCTACCTCCATTTTGACCATATGATCTTTTAGTTAAAGCTGGAAAACCCCACAAAATTACATTATCATAAACATCATCGTATTGAAGAACAGCATCAGTTTTAAGTTGCCCTAAAGTTCCAGGCCATGAGTTATGTGAAATTATATCCTCGTTGCTGCTAACATGGCAATAAGCAAATCCAGTGTAAGATATTCCAAAGTCTAACCCAATTACGATTCGAATACATGCTTAAAAAATGGTTAGATTAGTTTAGCTTTTAAACAGAATAACGCTGTAATCAATCAATTCTTCTATGTTACCATGATCATTTAAGCTCCACGAATGTTCAATTTGTTTGGCAAGTTTATGACTATTATTATTAATTAAGAAACTATCTTTCTGTTCATTGCCTTCACTAATTAAGGGCGTATTAATTTTCTTAATTCCATTGTCATTCTCATTAATTATAGTTTTTTCTAAATTTTGTGATACTATTTTTTTAATTTCAATTTTTTGCTGTTCTAAATTTAGAACATATCGTTGAAACTTTTCTAATTGCTCATCACTTTCTTGTAGCCTTACATTTAATTCGGAATTAATGCGTGTGATTTCTCGATTTTTTTCTTGAAGATTCTCATGTAACTGTTTAAACCTTTGACTTTCTTCTAATTTTTGCTTTTCTAACTTTAGAACATGTAGTTGATATTTTTCTAACTGCTCATCACTTTTTTGTAACCTTACGTTTAATTCGGAATTAATGAATTAATGCGTGTGATTTCTCGATTTTTTTCTTGAAGATTCTCATGTAACTGTTTAAGCCTTTGACTTTCTTCTAATTTTTGCTTTTCTGAATTTAGAGCATGTCGTTGAAGTTTTTCGAATTGGTCATTGCTTTCTTGAAGTTCTTCTTTTAATTTCGAATTAACATGTAAGCTTTCTCTGTATACTTCTTGAAGATTGTCATGTTTGTACTTAAGTCTCTTAATTACTTCTAATAAATTTTTTAATTTATTATTTAATTGATCAAAACCAATTATTAATCGGTCAGACATGATATATCATACGACAATTATAGAAATTTCACTTATTATATACCGTTATACAAATGCTGTGAAACGAATTCAAATTTTTTTTTGTCATACTCTTTGTTAATCAATGACGACAATGACGACATCGGGCTTTTTTCACTTTTAAAGTCAAATTTCCAAGGAACTATGTGATTCGAAATAAACTTTGTAATTTTTATAATTTTTTTATCACTTTTTTAAAAGTTGCTTTTTCTTTTTTTTTCTCTTTTTACGCTTTTTCGATTGAGATTATAAACTGACATTATATTATTCCTTTTCAGTTTGTTACGGCTTTTGGAAATATTTTAACGAAATGAAATTAGAAAGTTTGTTAATTTTAAATAATTGATTTTTTTTAATAATTTTTATTCTATTCCTTTTCTATTTAGTGATCTCCCTTCCTTACCGAAGACGAAGGGAAGGGATGTAGTAAAGCTAAAAAAGCGATAATTTATTGATAAATTATTACGTTAATAGTATCACTTCTGACCCTTTTGTCGTCACATTATGAGCAACTCGAGTTTTATTGTTCTTTTATGAGCGATGGGATTTAAATTGAAAGTTTTTTATTTTGAACATTTATTTAAGAAAAAGATTTAAATAAATGTATTAAACTATAACATATATCTTCTTAACCAACCATTTAATATGTCCCTTCATATTTAGCGTACTAGCAAATTCCTTTTTAAAAAAAAATTAGTTATATAAATTGGAATTGGACGATTAAAGTCCAATGAAATGAAACTTTGGAACGATAACTTACTGTGCCAATCAATTTTCGTCTAATAATGAAATAATAATGGCATAACGAATTTGATGGTAAATTTAAACTATTACATTATAAATTAGACTCCTAGACCATTTTGTTCAGACCCACCTTTCAAATTCTCTATTTCCTGCAAATTTACAAATTTGCAATTACCCATTTACGATATTTCTTACCATAGTATAGTTTATAGGTTGCGGTGTGATTTGATGTTATACACGCATCTAAAAAATTTTTGTAGAATTTCCAATTAATAATATAAATTTAGTCATAATGCTTGACCAATATTTCTGTGCACAGGCTGTATGCTGTGAACGGCTCATATTGTTCCGATATAGTAACGTTTCAAGAAAGTCGAAATGCATTATTAATGTATCACATTATTTGTATTTTTCAATAAATCGGATGGGTTATGATCTCTATAACATAACGCGAGAGTAAAGAACCTTTTGCTTATTAATCCGAAGAGAAAAAATACTTTTTTTTAAAGAAATTATGCTGAATAAAAACAATAATAAATTTCTCTAAAAATTTATTTTACATATTAACGGAAAAAGGTGGGTAAAATAAATAAAATAAAGCTTTTTCAAATACCTAAGGTGAGTTGAAGTGTGGTTTCCTAGCGGCATGACGTATAAGTTTTTCAATATCTGATATGTGAAAAAGATTTTATTTCGTATGATGAGGTATTTTTAATGCTAATTTCACAGCATTGTTAAACAACCAGGATAAATATATATATATATACAGCTTTCTCGGAGGCATAACGAACTTTTTTTTTAAAAAAAAATGTTAATAAATATGAAACAATTATTTGATTTTAAAAGTGACTTTATTAGTATCAAATAACACATCCATAAATCAAAAAATACAAGTAGATATATGTACCAAAGCATGAAAAAAAAGTTAATAAACGTCTAATGAATGCAACAAAAGAATGAAGTCTTAAGATATGCCAAATTGGTTATAGTCGAACTTACTAAATCCGCCTTCGGCAATAGATTCAATAGATTTTAAGAAACAAACATTATCAATAATTATAATTATCTATTAATTTGCGCATGCTTGATAAAATCATCCAAAACTTTACCATAATAATTTATAAAGTATAAAGCTGACCGGATTGACCATATGAATTGTTGGAGCGGCCTAAAATTCCTTAAACGGTTAAATTTAAATAGGTCGGAATTTTAAATTTGGGCGGAACTACAGCATATGTAATTTACTGATGAAGACAAATATTTTGATGAAGGAGCCAACTATCGAGTTCCTTAAATATCAGATTATGTTAATACGTTTTACAAAGACAAAGGAGGAGAGGATAAGAATATATTTTATGATTATAATTGAAAATATTCATTTTAAAACTATAGCGAATTACAGTTTTTCATTAGAACTAGAAGTTCGATGCGTAACTCAACGAACCATCAACCCGCTATTAGAAATTATCTTAATAACAAATAATAACGGGTGAATTAAAAATAATATTACTATAGTCTCAAGCAAAATAAAAAAATTAAATAATATAATAAAAAAAGATTAAATAAGAAATACTCACCGCCCGAATTAAGTCAATCAAATAATGGATGCTAAAGAATAAAAAGTTAAGTGTGAATATAATTTGAGCAATAAGTTATAAACAAAATGGAAAAATATATACAATTCGAGAATTAAAAAATTTGTCTTGCAGCCGTCTAAAAAAAATAATAAAAAAGAAATTTGATAAATAATCAAGAAAACCTTACCTATGTAAATTGGAGGTAATCCTGAAAACAAAAAAGAAAATAGAATGGAAACAAAAATTTTACCAATCTATGCATTTAACTCAAAAAAAAATAAAAAAATAAATTCTTTTTTTAAAGAATCAGCCCAAAGTAGAACGAAACTAAAAAAAATAAAGGGCAAAGTTTTAAAAAGATAATCGATTGATCGTGGTACCCAAAGCGACTGAACCCAGAACATAAAAAAATACCAAATAAAGAAAAAATAAAAATGACATGATGATAAATTAAAAATTACTCACAGAACCATCCGATCCGAAGAGTATCCTAATAAAGAGTAGCAATAGATCCAGATCGTGAACCTAACCTGAAGCTAAAATAAAAACTAACAAAAATTGACCGACACATACGATATTTGCGCAAGCTATCTGATTCGGAGAGGAATTTAAAGAAAAAGAAAGGGGTGCAAGGTTTTTTGTTTAATTGCTACAGTCAGACTTGATATAGCAATTTTTTTTACTAAAAAAATGTAAATACCGAATGCCTGTTGACTCCTTGCTTCGCAGGACTATATTCTCGATATAGAAACTCGTTATCCAATATTTAGCACGTTATAAGAGTTGTACTGTACCTGAGAAACGTTAGCCACGAAATTTCACGCACTACTCAACAACGACAATATTTGATTCTGAAACATTTTGAAACATTTCTTTTGCTTTCGCTAAAAATTATCTTTTTTTGTTGTCTTTACTGTCATTTATTACCAAAATATAGTTATGACTAGAGGTACATGTAGGTCTAATATTAAGACAATTTAGAAAAAATGTTAATCAATTTTTTAAATTAAATTCGTTTATAACCAATATATGAATGCAAATTTTATTCAAACAATCCTTTAAACTAGCTAAACTTGCTTCATTTTAGTAACAATAAAAACAACAATAAGCTTGATTGGGTTCTTCATGTTACTTTATTATGATAACGAATAAAATTTACAATCATTCCATCTATCTAGGGATTTTATAACAAACAATTTCATACCTTTCATGAATTTATGAATATTCTTTAAAATTTACCCCTGCTTAACTGGTCAAGATGATTATAACCTCTTTTGGCAGGTAGACGAGTAGCGACATTCTCTTAAACTTCCAAGTGAATATTCTCCGGTTCCTAAATGGGCGTGATATAAACTATTAGAACATATGATTGGTTGCTATATTCAATCCAAATAAATAATAAGAAAGACCAAAGATGACTAGTAAATATTATTATTGTAGTTACACAAATAAAATTAATATTCGCTATAGATTCTGCATTTTTTTCTGTCAATGTCTTCAAAATAACTTTAAATAACCGATCTTAAATTTTTTTTTGAAATAAAAAATCATTAACAAATAGCCGGTTTGTTTGCTATTAAAATCACGTTACGGAAGGGATCATATGATTTACTACTGTATGTTCGTAACTCTATTTTAATAGCAAACGACCCAAATCTATTTATCTGATTGTGTTTAAAAAATAAATTTATTATTATTTCGAAATATTAATATTGAAGTATAGGTTCTGTTAATTATAATGAAGCATAGTATCCTTTACATTTAAAATTGAATTAGTAGATAAATTATGAAATATTTATTTGATTAAGTGTCATGATCACAAAATTTTATAACATCCATTTTACAAAGTATGCCAATACATTGCGATAAATAATATAGGTTTATTTGGATAATCAATTATTTACAAATTAATTATACGTAGCATTCATATATTTATACTGATAAACTTAGTATGCCGTTAAATCAACCAACTGTACTATTTTACGATAGTACCAAATTAAATCTTTTAATCTTGATGAATTAATAGATCAGTATCTTTTGGTTTCATAACTGAACATTTTAGGAAAAGGCGATGTAAATTCGAGCACTTGTTAATAGCAAATATTAAAATCTAAATTTAATCCAAAAAACTTTTATTATCTTTTGCAAGGAATTTCCGTTCAAATTCATAAATTAAAAAAAATTGCATCCCAATTAACACTAAAGTGCGGAATTTGGCCTTAATAAATCCGGACGGACAATTCCGATATCAATATCTTCGATATAGATTTTTTGTCCCGAAAAATGCAATTTTTAGATATTATCTGAAAATTTTAGGATCACTCGGACATTTTCGGTAACATTTCCAGGAAATTTCTTTAAGAAATATAAGAAATATGGCAATAAATTAACGTTCCTTTTCTTATCTATGTATCTACGGATAAAATTTTAAAAATTAGGATTTGTAAGGATATTAATAATTTAAGAGACTATTATAACCTATTTATAGAAAGTTATAAATAGGAATTGAACTTCGAGCGAAATTTAGAATATATACATAATTTATCTAATTATATAATTATAATTTGCGGTGCGGTTAACTTTATTTGGAAAGTACCGTTACCGATGATCTGATATAAATAATTGTTTTAACTAGAGTATTTATGGAAATTCATTACATATGGGGAAATATTTAAACCGAGGGC